AAGACCCTTGTAATTTTCTCACCTTTTAGAGAAAAAAAAAACCCAGGGGTGTTCAAACTTGACAGCTTTAAGACTTGTGGACTTCAACTCCCAGAATTCCTCCTCTCGCTCTCCATCTTGATGATGCATGGATGGACAGGGGGAGGGAGCTGGAACCGGTTCTAAACGGCACTGTAGATTTGTGGAACTTCTTCTATAGAAGAGGTTAGAACTGGCAGGAACCCACCCCTGGTATAGTATAAAGGAGAAAGATGGTCTGGGTATCTTCAGAAAGATAAGAGGGTTAAGGTTACATCTTACCCATTTAGTTTTAAGAAATTCATTAGATTTTCTGCATGAGAAAACAGATCCGTCTCTCCTACTTGTTATACTTCTATGTGCAGATTGTAAGTGCATTGCTTATGTAACTAAAACTGCATCACTTGGCACAAACGGAAGGTTATAGAAATCTTTACTGAGGCAACCCAAGGATTGTAAAATTACAGAAAATCTTAAAAAATCACACACAGTCAAAGAAAATTGTAAAGTAGCTCAAGCATAACTAAGCATCCTCAATGCGTAATGGATGCACTATAGGCATGACTTTGAGGAATGGAACAAAAAGTGAGGGACGGTGTTGGGGATAGTACAAAATGAAGATGCTGGGATTTTAAGCAGAATTTCTTATAGATTCCATGTTGGATAGATAATTGCAGGCAAGTCATTGTCCCAGGAAATCTAAAGAAGCTTAGAGGTCCAGTGCAGCATATCATTTTCGAGAGATGTTTTTGCTCTCTTTACACATTCAGTTACTTTTGTTCCATTTTGTGTTGTAGGATTGTTTCTATTGGGGTCACTGCTGGGCCAGTTTTCTGTGGAGTGGTTGGTCATCGGGTGAGGCATGAATATACAGGTACAGTTGTAATAAATATAAATGTTAGCAATCACATAAAGTACTGGAAATAGATAGTAATAAAGTAATATAGTACATATAGTACTGGCAATAGATAGTAATAAAGTAATATAATACATATATATGTAATATTGAAAATAAAATATATTATTGACCTATTTATTAAATAGATCAATATGTTTTCCAAAGCACCAAAGGGCAGGGCAAGAAACAATGGATGGAAACTAATCAAGGAGAGAACCAACCTGGAATTAAGTATAAATTTCCTAACAGTGAGAACAATTAACTAGTGGAATAGCTTGCCTTCAGACATTGTGGATACTCCATCATTGGAGGCTTTTAAGATGAGACTGGCAGCCACTGTCTGGAATGGTATAGAGCAGAGGTCTCCAAGCTTGGGAACTTTAAGACTTGTGGACTTGTGGTCTTAAAGTTCCCAAGCTTGGAGACCTCTGGTGTAGAGTCTCCTGCTTGAGCAGGGGTTTGGACTCCAAGGTCCCTTCCAATTCTGTCATGCTGTTGTTTAAAACATTTATACAGTGGCCTATCTTATAACAAACTCCAAAAACAATTGTTGTTATCGTAAACATCTCAAAGCAGCAGGGGCTATTTAGATCTTGTGGATAGAAACTCTGTAACCAGGATGCCATTGCCCAGAAGGTTAGTCCTGATGCATATCAAAATTTGAAGAACCATTGAGGCTCAGAATGATGACTTCCCAACTTACTGATAATGCTGGTTTTGGAAGAAAGATTCTGATAGAAGTCAGGTATCAAACAGAAGTCAGCAATTTTGGATTGCTTTCTTTTTGTTTATTCGTTGGGTCTTCCAAAGACTTCTCCCTAAAGAGACTCTTTTCTGGGCCTTGTTGGTAATTTAATACCCCAGTGCAGTGATGGTGAACCTTTTTCCCATCATGTGTCAAGAGCGTGGGGAGCACAGGGGGGGGGGCATTTGCAGGTGTGGCCACACCAGAGGTGGGTTCCTACCAGTTCGCACCAGTTCGGTAGAA